TGTGTGTGTATTCATTTGTCAGTCCTGATTTTCAGTTTTATGATCTGTCGAGCCAGAATACTGAACTTCCGGCATGATAGTTACAATGTGTTCGTACTGAGGGTCTGTTTTTAAAAGTATAATTGTCTTGAGCTTCAAATCACCTGATTCTGGTCATTTCGTCTGCATTTACTCAGCGTAGGTTTGAAGATATGCGCGACATGTCGTCCACTGACTCTGTCAGAAGGCTCATCCAAACACAAACCACTTTTACGATGGTAAAATGATTTTCTCTAAAAAAAACAATTTAAAATTGATAAAATGTTCGAATATCAAGAATATGAATAACAGAGAATAAAATTAGATTTGTATTTTTTCATCGCCGGTCTGCTTCCGAGAAAGTGGCGCATGTGCATCGAATAGACGGTGGGTGATAACTGGTGCTCTGCGGCTCAGGTTCGAAAACCCCGGCATAGCTACGCCCGGTGATGGTAAATATTCAGATGCTCCCGCCATTGCCTCAGTTACTAAAGCCCGACCCAGGGAAATTTAGAATTTCCCGAAAAGATAAGACCGAGCATTATGGCCTGACGAATTTTAAGGCCTTATACCAGCAGCTACTCATTATTAAAACTGTCAGTTGTCTTTCCTCCGAGAAATTTCTGGAAAAGGAAACTAGATACAGTTCAGTTTAGCAGTCAGCGCACCAAAGACATTGGGATGCAGGCCATTGAAACGAATCAGCAAACTAATAGGTTTTTGAACTTTACGGGCTGCAATCATAATGATAGCGCGAAGTGGTACCACCTCGTGTCATTGAGACGATGGTACCTTGTAACTTATTGTAAGCAGATGAAAAAAGATGCAGATGCATAGTTTTTCATAAAAACAACTAACATTGGTGCTATAATCCCAGTATTCGGTTTCGTACTGACCACACTCTTTCAGCTGAACTTGCCAGGTACGTGCATTTTCACCGTGTACTGGCTGATATGCACTCAAGCACAAGTGCTCGTCTGTTTTTAACTGCCCTTCCTCCGTATACAACCAGAGCTACAAATCCATAAAAAATTTTGCAAGAATACTGAAACTTCTTCCAACAAAAACACCCAGCAATTATTGATACATACATTTCTGATGGTTCTAATGTTTCTTTTGTCGCTCGAAGGGATTACCAGCTCAATGGAACTCCTAACAGAAGAGCTTTGACATAGCCACTTGGTGATTAAGCGATGTGTGTTGAGCGTCACCACTTTATACCCAAATATGGCACTTTCAGACCACTCTGAGGAAACACCTCGCCGTCCAGGACAGGCTGTAGTGTTATCATCCAACAAACAAGTCAAAAAGCTAGCATGTGAGGGGTTGAAAAAAGAAACTCGACCCAGTTTAACTGGCGTTACCTACTATAAGCCCACAGCAATTTACCGCAAAAAGCATAATCACACCAACTTCCTGATGCGAGCCCATATTTATTTAGTTTATGCGAAAATGCTTAACAAACAAATTCCCATCAATTCTGAACGAAAAAAATGCAATTAGCTCGCTGCGTCTCCTCTCCAATCTCGGCTTTTTGCTTCATTTAAAAGCACAGGCATGAAAAGTATGACCGTCACCTGCCACATGTCAAATGCCAACGTGCAACGAGCCACTGTAATGCTAGTTTGCTTACTGCCCGGTTCACCAGCTCGAGCTAACAAGCAATTTCCGGATGTGCGGTGCGCGATCTGAAAAACGAATGAAAAATGCGGCAAACCTCGGTGCGATCGAAAATTTCTGGCTTGGAGCAATTATGCATCACTGCTATCCTAACACTTTCACCAATCGGCACCGTCCAATGCAAGCACGCTAGCGAAGCATCGCTTTCTTGCCACCACTTTGAGTAGATTATCTAAATCACCAAAATTACCTAATTCTACTCCCTTGCTCAGACGCCCCAATTCATGTTCAGTGGCACATTCAGTTCATGAGGCAGATTAAGCGCACTCATTTTAAAAAAGCGCTTATTGACCAAAATGATTCCGCCTTATCTTACCCTCTTACAAAGCTGTGTGGACAAGGCGAATTACCGAAAGACACACCCAAGCAGTGTTAAAAGAACAGTTACGGTAGTCAGTAAGGTGGAAAAACATTGACTAGATCATATGCAGTAACTTCAGGGTCTTCCGA